CACGCAGAAAACAAAATATCCGTCTAATAACCTAAAACCGAAAAAAAACCGCAAATATAATAAATCACCACAATATATACTAATACAATAATGGGTGGACTAAAACGTCCCCCACCAACCAAATAAAGTTGGTTACATTTTAAAGGATCCATTATCTATATCACTGAGTCATAACTAAACTCGCTCTTTTTTCCATACAGGTAGTTATGGACGCTGAAATGCCAGTTACACCCACGCCAACCATGCGTTCGACTGTCACTGTGCCGCGCCCTGCGACTACCCCCGTAGCAGCGCCACGAACAACACCAGCAACAACTGCACCGACAGCTCCACGACGTGCCACGCGCCCAATGCCTACTTTAGTTTCAGAGCCGCCTCGCCTCCGCTGCCCGCTCTGTTGCCGTTCGCACCGGCTGCAGCACTGCCCCATTTTTAAGGGTATGACACCCAATCAACGTCAGCAGGTGGCCCAAGCACATGGGCATTGTTTGAATTGTTTGGCCCAGACGCACGACACGCAGGAATGCGTGTCCGATATCGTGTGCCAACACTGCGACAGGCCGCATCATACCTTGCTGCATCGAAACCCAAGACGCCCTGGCGCACGGCCCTCAGTACCCCGCAGCCATGATGCAGCCCGTCGTCCACAGCCAAGCCATGCAGCACGACCCCGTCAACGACAAGCACTCGCCGCACCCCGTACTTGGCGTCAGCTCAATAGCACCTCAACACGACACCAACCCTTAAGGCCGCATCCTCGTCGCAGGACAGGCCTCAGCAACGTCGTGGCAACGTTGAAACAACTCCAGCGACTGCTAGGCTGAACATTCGCCTAGGGGGCCGGGATGGCTAAATGAGTTCAGCTTCCCGCCCTAATGCAGTCAACAACACCGCACAACACACTACTCATACGACAACACAACACACCACTCACACGACAGCGTAACACACCACTTACAGGACAACACTGGCACACCACATCTGGAAACATCAGCACACCCACACCCCACGCACCAAGGCAACCTTGCTGGAAGCAGCAGCATACACCCACACACAGCAGAATAACTCTACACACGAACATGAACAAAACCAGGGAGGGCGATCGAGCCGAACCTCTTTTCCATCGAAATCGTCAACAGGGAAGTCGCAATTGAAGTTTCGCC